TACATACAAAACTTTACATACATAATGATGGGCATTCTCTTCATCACTCATGACAAACCTCCAAATTCTGTTGCCAGAAATATTTACTTACATTCATGAACAAAAATTTTCACACACTTGTGAAGACCATCTACAGTCGTCCTCAAATGGATTCATACCCTTCTGTTAAAGAAAAGGCAAAATTCACAATAGTCACTCAAATAATTAGGAAGCAAGAAAAAGGTATAATCACTTTTTTAAAATTGCTAAAGTCTAGTTTAGTGAAATAAGACATTGCTTTTGAATTGTGGTTGAAAAGAATTTTAAAAAATTGTCCCGGACAAATTAGAGCACTTTGCTGATGAGCAGTGGACCAGAACACCCGTCAACAGATGCAGAAGTCTGATTGAGAGTCACAGAAAACACTTGATTGCAGTGATTGGCTCAAAGGGTTGTTCAACTAAATATTAGTTTACAGTCCCACCATGCTTGTTTTCTTATGTTTTTTGTTGTTTTTTTTTTTTAAATATTTCTGTTGAACCACAATTCAAAAGCAATGTCGGGATTTTCATTAAATTTTTATTTATTCCGTTTGTCAATTTCAACTTATTTCAGTGGCAGCTATTGTTTTCCTTCTTTAATGGGAGGGTATGAACACATCTGAGGACGACTGTGTATCATGGCAGTGTTGAGTTTCCAATGACTCTGCAATTGAGGTGTCGGGACGGAGACCCAAACTTGTGATCTTGGATAAGGACTGTATCGAGGACTGATCCGAATTCCTCAGTCTCCCCAGGTTGTCCGGCCAGAACTATAATAAGGACGAAGTTCACACTGTCATGCCACTCGTTGCCACTCTTCATTGAAGGTTATTGGTCATGTGATGCATGTGATTCATGGTTTCTACAGCGTAAACAGAGCAAACACCATGAGTAACCATCATAGATACAATGAAAGCAACAAATAAATACAAGAATAGGAATTTCCAAATCCCGTGGACTGATTGAATGGAGGATGGAGCGTGTGTCCTCGAGGAAAGTGACCTGCACACAGACACAGCGTGAAGTTGAGCTGATGGTTGGGCTAACTCCTGATTGGTAGAGAAAGGGGGAAGAAAGGGTCGTAGAAAGCTGTGTTCTTCAAATTTTCTTAGCAGCATGGCCTCTTAACTTCTCGTGAGTGACTACAGCCGCTGATTTCTCTGAGCCAATATAAGAAGCTCTTTCTCCAGAAACGGCACCTAAAAGCTTGAGTGAAGTTTGCTGTTGATCACATGGACAAAAAAGGCCTATTGGAGGAAAGTTCTGTTGCTGGATGAAACAAAAAAATTGAGCTTTTTAGCCACAATGACCAGAAATATATTTGGAGGAGAGTAGGTGAGGCCTTTAACCCCA